CCCCAAAACCCCAAAACCCCAAAACCCCAAAACCCCGCAATATGCTGCAAATATTGAAATTAATCATGCCTAAAAGACCGTTTGGCTTCTAAAACACTCTCTGGCATAACTTGATATGCTCTTTCATTTGGTGGGCCATAAAAAATCTCTTGCATTCAGGACACTTAGTGGCCTCTTCAGATTCCTCTTCCATTCAAAAGCTGATATCAGAAGGTTGGTCATCAGTCACAAAGCCTTGATAAGCTTGTCTGTTAACCTTAGTGATCGTGAATTCAGAATCTGGGGCAGCTGAGCTGGTGGACACTTTCTCATGATTCTTAGTTCCAACAAGGAGAGACTTCTTCTGGAGCGTTGATTTTTTGCTTCCTCTTTTCTTTAGATATTTACTAGAGGTTTGCCTCTTCTTTCATTTCTTTGATTTATTTCCTAAAGATAGCTCTAGTATCTTACTTTTCTGAGTGAAGGAGTGGTTCAGTTTAGAGGGCTTACTATTTCCTGAAGGAGGTATCTTTTCAGTTAATGATAGAAGTCTCCCATTTTTGATATTCCTAGAAGATTAATTTAGAGAGGAATGGCTAGGCTACTTACTGTACTTGTCTCTTAGTGAACTCATTGTTCAAAAGTCTATTTGCTCTGTTTATACACTCAAGCACCTTATTGGGCTTCTCATGCACAATGGTGCTCTCAAGAGAGCACTTGTTGTCAGTGATCTGTCTAAAGCAAGACGCTTTCACCAGATCATCCTCCACAGTGGAGGATTCTGGGAAGTCATCTTCAATAGATGGTTTTGAAGAAGGCTGCAGCGAGACTTCCAATGAAGATTTTTCAGAGGAATTATCTGTAATAGATTTCTTGGATCCTCCAAAATTCAGGCATATTTTCTTAGCTGTTTTATCTTTCTTTACTACTTTAATCTTAGAAGGCTTCAAGACTGGAGCTTGGGGTAAGGAGCCTAGCATCCCAGTTCTTCTTTTTGTTTGCAGAGAGGCTGAATTATTTACTGTCTTAGAAGCATTAACTTTGTTAGAAGTCCTACTCTTCCTTCTTCTTGAATGTGTTTTTATGGAATATCAATCATTAGGCTCTATAAAGAATTAGTTTCTGAGAAAGCAATGAAAGCACAGAATTATATTCTACTTACTGCTGAAATCTTTAACTTTTGAGGGCATTCTTCTGTATTTTGGGGTATGAGAACTCCTCCGAATCGTGCTGGGGCAAGTTTCAGTGACTGCCATGAATATATCCATGACTTTCTCTTGTCTTTCAGGAACTATACCTTAAGTTAAGATTTACACAAAAGTAGGCTCTAGTCCAAATCTCAAGCTTTGAATGACTTACTACTAAAATTATCCTTTTCAAATTTGTAGATCTTCTCCTTCTATCAAAACATTAACAACAGAATTTGAGAAGTTTTCTGAATTGAGAAATTAGCTTACGTAGCTTATTCCAGAATAACGAGGTGGTGCTATAGTTATCATCCCATTTCTGTGAGATTTATTGACTCTTTTCTTTTTCAACCCAGAAGCCACCTAGAACCAATCAATTTTAGTTGGATTCAGATAAAATTGCAGTTAAAATTGTGCAAAAGAGCGACAAGAATACCTTATAATTATAAATATTATCTGAATCCTCACAAGAAGGCTCTCTTCTGCACTTCTTCCTATACCTCTGAGGCAGATTAGAGATTCTCCTCTCTCACGACTTATGAAGACTCCAAGCTCCAAAGAAATCGGGGGTTTCCTTAGTATAAACTTTCCTAGTTCTCGTTGACATTCAATTAAATTTTAATTAACTAAAATTTTCAATTTTTTAAGCAATTACCGGGGTTTTGGGGTTTTGGGGTTTTGGGGTTTTGGGG